AATGCTTAGATCTGCACAGCGAAATGGTGGGAAAAAGACCAACGCGATGAACGGACCCTGTCCTGGGCCAACAAAATCCAGTCTCCTTCAACTCCTATCTCCCATAGATCCCGCCTGAGATTATCCTCCCATCTACGTCTAGGTCTCCCCAGAGGTCTCTTCCCCTCAGGCTTCCCAAATAGTGGACCCAACCAACCAGATGGCTTACGGAACCCGAAGGTTCATCACCGAACTAACCAAAGCCCTCCACCGGACCCTGTCATGAGCCAACAAAATCCAGTCTCCTTCAACTCCTCCACCGGACCCTGTCCTGGACCAACAAAATCCAGTCTCCTTCAACTCCTATCTCCCGTAGATCCCGCCTGAGATTATCCTCCCATCTACGTCTAGGTCTCCCCTCAGACTTCCCAACCAATACCCGGTGCACTCTAGAAACTGGCTATTCTGAGGTTGGCGAAAACATTCTCGAAGATGACTGTCATACGCCCATTATGAATGTGTGGAGCTATACATCTACTCTCCACTACTTTACCAGCAGGGACGACTTTGCCTTGGGCACAACTAACTCGCTGTGAAGTATGCGGCATGACTGTGTTCCTATGCATTAACCAATGCACGTAGAAACGATCCGGCATGAGCTTCCGGCACGTGTCATGCATAGTGTGAGAGCCGCAGAGCTGTGGCCCAACTTACCGGATCAGGTTGTGCTAAATGTCTTCAGTATCTGCACGGAGACACCCGCATTCATATTTTATTATGTGCAACCCCGGGGCTGAAATGCTTAGTTACCGTCTTGGCTGAGGTCCTGGGTTCGATCTCCAATGCCACCACTAATAACAGTATATTGACAACCGATCCCTGAGACTGGACGAGAGCCAATTCACGAAACGCCTTTTAATGTTGACAAAATCGGTGGCATTCTGACGCAATGACTTTCACGTTTTGGCGCAACTGTATTTTTCTAAGAATTATTTGTTAAAAACCAGAGGCGGCCATGTTTGTTGCCTTTCTCTCGGAATTCGACCTTCAGCACTTCTCCCTAAAAAAAATCACGCTTTCCTGGTGGGAGGGGTTCCCCCCCTACTTTCGGAAAGATCCGCGTTAGGGGAGTTCGTTGCCTTAAAAATGTTACCGAAATGCAAATTAACTCATCTGCAGTCCATTCACGGAGACGGAGACTGTCGATGTAAACAGATGTGTCTGAACAGAGCACCGTAGTTAAGCACGAGTCAGTTACGTGATCCGAGGGCCAATGCAGCCCGCATAACACGGGGTCACGTGATGTGTTAACGTCCACTGCCTTCGCCCTGAGAGAAGATACTGGGAAAGGAATTTTCAGTACCGTACAGAAAATCCCGTCAGTGGCCCCGATTAATTCACTTCATAGCCTCTTACCCTGTTTAATTAAAATCCATTTTAATATTATCTTGCAATCCGCGCTCATGTCTCCCACGTCGTCCGTTGTCTTCAGCATTCCAATCAAAATTCTGTATAAATTTCTTATCTCCGTTCGCGCTACATGGCTTGCCCATCACCAGAGTACAAATTATGAGACTGCACATCACGGAATGCCCTGTCTCTTACGTCCAAACATTCTCCATCGCTCTGAGTTCTGCTCTTAATGTGAAAGTAATTATTACAGACAAGCATAAATCATGTCTCAAGAAGAGACCATTCTCATTAGAATTGGTGAATTGAAATGATAGCAGGTTTGGGGGATATAAACCCGGGAACTTCGAAACACAAAGCACGATTGCTAACCACTTGGTCGCGATGTTTGGCAAACAATTCTTGGCACAGGTACCACTTCCACGTTTGCCATGAATGCGTAAGGCTGTTTGTCCTTTAATAGCCACGAATTTCAAGAAAAACAAGGCTTCTTTGCGGATCCTTCTTTGAGGTTCACAGCTGACGGCGGCCTTCCGACTGCAGTGTTCCTACTTGTATCTGTCTCACTGCTAACCATTCTTGGATTCCCGAAGGCCATCACGTTGCATTGAAAGCACTTGCGCGCAAGCATGGCATACTGGACACACATCGGCCAAAGATCTCCATTTTTGGGGTTAAGAGTAACTTGCTACTATATTTCAGCAGTGCGAAGCAGTTAGCCTGTTCTGAATCAGTTAATTCTGTCGTAATTATTTTATGAAGCCAGTAAAGACGATTACAGTGGACGCAAAATAACTCCGAGCTTCGTAGGGGAGGGCTTCGAATCTCTGGAACCTCGTGTGAGGCTTCGCCCCGTCGTGGCGAATTCTTCGAACAAGTTCCCTCGGAGTTTCAGGGTTCCAAACGTTGTGCTCAGCGTAAATGGTGTAGCCATTACACCTGGAATCCAACATCCCAGACACCGGTCTCGAGGTCTAAGAATCGTCCCCACGAACTTCTATTCGCCGACGACTGTCAAAATTTTGTACGGCCAAAAACTCAACCACCCCACGCTGTCTGTTTCATATTCGCACCGTCGCCTTACACTAAGCCATTTTAGAGACTGCACTCCAGAGACATCTTGTACTCGTAAATAGATGAAACTTTTTATAAACGTGCGAGCAAGGCCCGCTAGTGGAATGCCTTTAGACAAAGCTAAATCACATTTCAAGCATTTTATAGGTTGGGTAGAGCCTCAATCCTTTTTATTAATATCAAGGGAGCTTCCTCAGACTCAAAGTTTTTTTAATAATTTCCCTTGTCCTCACTTTGGCAGCAGATGGGAGGCGGCAGGTCCGCGGATGGACATAAAAACCGAACCAGTACTGCCTCAGGCCTTTAAAAGGATCGTTTATTTTTATTCCCGAAATCTTTTCGTCTTCATTGTCAGTTAATACACCCAAAAGCACATTAAATTTAAATAACTGGACGTAGAACCATCAAAATCATGAGTTTATTTTGCTAACAAGTACGTCAATCTGACTAGAGTTGTTTACGCTTGCATGACGACGACGTCAGGGTAACATCCGCGACCACAAGCCGTCAATAAAGATCGGCATTAGAGCACGAAAATGGCCTTTGAACACGGCGTTAAAGACCTCAGCGGGTTATCCGAACATGGGACGAGGTGAGGCAACTTGGCAACGTTACTACAGCTGGGATGCTGGACGCAGCTTTCAGAAAGAAGCTTTCTCTCATGCCCACTCTCTCTCTCTCTCTCTCTCTCTCTCTGTAATCTAATTTTAGTGCACGCTTCCCCTCCCCCCCTAAAACCCTTCCTAATCACAAGAAGGGCACGGACGGCGGAGAAGTAACGTGTGCCAACCAACTGACGGCGAACCATGTAAGGCAACCCACGAGCCTCGACACTTGCCGGCGAAGTCAAAGGCAGAAAATTGGCAAACCATCTCCCACCTGATCATGCTGCAACAGAGTTAGTTCAGTCGAGTGATCGATAATCGAGCACTAATTAAACGTAACCGGGATACGAGATCTGGACTCTGGGGGCGATTAAGTATAAATTATATAAAAAAATTAAACAACGGGCGAAACCCATTTTTATAACTTCGATTCATCAAACCATTTCTACACTTACACGAAAATGTTATGAAATTTCGTACACTATACTGCTGGGACTTGCTTGCAAGCTAAAATATCAAAAAGAAATTTACATCACTGAAACGTCGATTCTCTATCCGTCTCTCTCTGACCGAACACTAGCATTTACAACAACTCTGACGTCAGTGTCTGCAAATCTTACTAATTACTCTGCAAGCCCTTCATGAAAGGTAAAATGCAATATTTTTCGAGCTAAAAATACTCAAATACGTTCCACTCTTTAACTTTCAGCAACACTGAATTCCGCACTTCGTGAGAACTTGGACAACTTGAGAACGCCCTCACAAAGCACCTGTTTCGAAAGGAAAAGACTGAGTAAAACAACGCATTTCGACTTCTCTAGAGCTTTCTTTACCTCGGTGGCAGAAACCTGCACGTCTAAGCAATAACCTTGTACTGAAACGTACGTACAAACATGAACATGGACACAGTTGATCGAAACATTACGATAACGAACTCCAGGCTGGAGATATAAAGTTCTCTGCTGCAGTGTTTGAACAGATATCACAAGTAAACTTGTCAATTATTTATCTACAACTGAGGGATTTAAAATAATCTCACTTTTTCACTTTTGTACGTATGATTCATAGCAAAAAAGGAGACGCAGCTGGTAATCTAAAAGACAACATTTCCTGCACTTTAAGACAGAGAAAGGGTCTGGAGTAACAAAGAACACTTGAACACATTTGACTCATCGGGACGAGAGAACTCCTTCGAGCGATTCAGAGCCGAATCTGACTCATCGGGACGAGAACTCCTTCGAGCGATTCAGAGCCGCCAACATACGAGCAATTAGTCCCGAAGTGTCACGCACAGGAACCACACGTGAAATGCCAACATGTTCATAAAAACCAGTGGCTGATCGTAACATTACCATTCACCACGTGGTGCCAAAACCGAGGAACACGGACACCACCCAACGTCCGTCCCTACCGTGACCTGAATACATTCTTCAAGCCGTGTTTGTATACAAGCAGAACTGATTCCACCCACACCCACTCTCACTCGCTCACACAAATAAGAGTGAGATCCGGAACACCTTCGTTTTTACGTCAAAAACCAAGTTCCGTCATCCAAAGAAGATCTACGGAAAATGAAGCATGGCCGCGAATTCAGTTACAGACGAGCGCGGCTGTCAACCACAAATTTCACATTTCCCCACTGCCAACTAAATTTAACCCCAAGAGATTCTGGTCAAACGATCACAGAATTTGGCAACGACGTCATATCAGGGATGCATCCGTCTCTGGTGAATGTACCACACGGGAACCCGAAAAGTACATGAGAGATGATATTAAAATGGACAAACAAACCGCACACAGCCATAACAGGAAAATAACCTACAGTATTCTACGGAGTAAGAAAAACGCACGTGCTAAATTTCTGACAAAACAGACCAAAAATGCCCCCAAAGTTTACATATTATTCAGGGCAGAATGTTGCACTGTACTTACCACATGGCCTGAACAGACACCGGCTTGAAAATGTGATGTCGCCCACACACACTCACGCTGAAGCCACTGGAATCAAAGCAAACAGCGACATCTTTATTATTTGTAGTGTTCTGTCTGACGACAGGTCCATATGAACAGGATCCTTCCATCCTTTTCTCGGACTGGGACCTGTTCATATACGTTCTTGGCAGATGATCCAGAAGTGCTTTGCCATTGCCTTCTTCTGTGTGTATGGAGTAATGAGTAATTGTTGGGATGCCACGGAGAAAACCTCCGTGTTGCC